TTGTTGCGCAGTGGTCAGCGCTCTGGAGATGGACACCAGAAACTGACAGCACGGAATTAAACAATCCAGGCAAGCAAACTGAAGGATTGCAATGCTCATGGCCCCGTAAAAGCAATCCTTTGCTTGCAAAGGTCCGGCTTAAATTGATTTAACATGATTTAACTTGATTCAAAAACTGTCAACAAGTGTCTGCCTCCGGCAAGACTTGGATACGGGACACATTCACGAACCTGACAACTTTTCAAAACTAAACATGCTTTCAAACATGCTCAAGGGTTTACCCACACTCTCTCCGCTACACACCACTACCCAGTTCTAAACTAGGTGTGCGCTGAGGATAATTGCATCATAATATTACATCCACAGCCACAGCTGAGGACTTCACACTGGTTCTGGAGGCTCCACAAGTTCCTCTGTTAGGTTCTCATCTTCGCTTCTATTGCCTGAAGCCAGCTGGACGCGATGCTGCTTGATGCTGTTGAATTGCGCTGATACACCTGGATTTAAGCTGTCTCCAAAAATGCTGGTCACATCAACCTCGGATACCAACCAAGAAACCCAATGAAGCTCGTCTGATGAAATCCACTGGCTCGGGTTGTTTGTCTTGAGCTGAGCACCGTCTCGATTGAAGGCTCGAAAGCAACTTGTATCATACCCTCTAGTGCTGCACCCATCTTGCCGAGGGTGTCCTGGCTTGCTGGACAATGTGCACTTGTGGGACTGTGAGGAATCCGAGCAATCCTACTGTGTAACCCATAGGAACAAAGTCCACAAAACGGTGAACTCATGCCAAGCATACACCATCGCGAACAAAAGGTGCTGCTGCATTCAGCGCCCTCAGCGCCTAAGCTAGAACAATGAAAGAAAAGGAAGGTTGCACCAGGTCACCTGAACTTCTCTGGCATGTTGACTGCGAGCTCTAGATCTGAGCCTGACACAGGGCGCACCACCTGAAACGCAAAACTCATGACGAGTGATGACGAGAGAGGATGTGGACGGCATGGGTTCTCCCTGAAATGGTTCTGCAGGCACCTCTGCGGAAGGAATCTGGTCACACGTCACAGTGCCAAAGAAGTCGGTGCCTTGCAGCTGGCTGTAGAATTGTATGTAAATTGATGCCAAGTATAAAACAAAATCCATATCCTGGCAAAAAGTGCCTCAAAAACATCCAGAATTCAAGAACAAAGCTGTCTGGCCACAAATTCATATGGCACGCACACCTATTCATGGGTCGAGCACATTTGGGGTAATGGCAAGGGCATGCAAGGGCTCTGATTGCGAAGTCAGGCTTCGGTAGATCAAGTGATTCAATTCTACGCATGACACCTGGCTTGGGCTCCCAGCTGCAAGTCTTGATTTTGACTGCGGGATCCGCTATAATCGAGATCGCCCTTACAGCCTCCACCGCATTGGTAACTGCAAAGCAGCTGCTTCAACTCAAGAGTGGACCCAATCTTCGCAATACCCGCCTGCAACAACTGAGTCCTGGCAGCTTACAAGATCTACAGTCCTCCCGCCCTATGTTTCAATGTCAGCAACTCGTCGGGAAAGAGTAACTAAGGACCGCTCACTTCATTGGTCACCTCAACCCTGGCAAGCACAGCCTCGGGCAAAAGAAGGTCAGGGCAGCCTCCTTGACTGGAGGTACAAACATCATGAATCATCATGAAGCATCGAAACATCGATATTTGCAATCTGCAAGACAATGAGACTCAGAAACATCACCGATTGTTTCTCGATTCGGGCATGTCGTTCATTTGGTCATTTGGCAATTTAGGTAGGCAGCACTGTTCTCTTGCCTGCCTGCGGAGGCACTATGCTAGCACAGCGGCCCCGGACAAACTCGACGACATTCTGCCGCTACGCGACCCCAGACTTTTGAGATCACTTCAGGATACGCCCACTCCGAACCCTCGACACTTCTTGTGATTTGGCATGAGCAGCGGCAAAGGTGGATGTGCGTGTGCCCTTGAGGCCCTTGGGGCGCTCTGGGCCCTTGGGGCGTTGACTCTCAGTATCATAGCCCGTTGACTTTGTCTCAGCTTCGTCAGCCGAGTTGCTGCCAAGGATTAGCCCAGCCCCAAGCCCAACCAGCAGCCCAGTGGTCAGGGACCCCAAAGAAAAGTCGGACTCCTGAGATTCTATGGGCACTTGAACCACTTGTCTTCTATAATCAATTCTACGAGGCCTTCCTGGTGTGATACTTTGCACCACCAGGCTCAACACAATTCCACCTGCAGAGCCGATGGCCACTGCACGTATTCTCTTTGACATTTTCTCCTCAGATTTGTCTTCTCCCGTTGTCTTTTCTTTAGCGCGTTCAGCGCGTTCGGCTGGGGGATCCCACAAAGAAGGCTGCAAATCCCGTGGTGGACCCACAAAGGCATCTGACATAGAAACCATTGCCATGATAAGCAGCCGATGTCGCGAAGCCAAACACATCGCGAGTGCAGCAAGTAGGAAAAGGCCAAGCATCGAAACCGATGTACTCACAAGACCTGCCAAGAGTGATGTTCCACTCATGCCACTGATGTTGTATGTCAACCACGGCCAGCTGCCGAGGACATCTCTCCGTGCACGTTGAACAACACATGGCCATAATTGCGCACAGCTGAGGGCCAACGCCAAGAGCATCAATCGCATCCAAAGGCGCTTGCACCAAGCCATGGCTTAGACCGGCCAGGCACGCTTGCCAGGAGCGTGAAATTTGCCAATTGATCGTGGTGCTGTGGGATATCTTGAATGCCTCAATCTTCAATGTGTCTTCAGTGTAAAGTGTAAACTCATGCAAATTCAAGTTTCCCTTTCAGCGTCTTGCTGCAGCTTGAGCAACACATAGCATAACAAGAATCATCCAAACTGTGGAGCAAACAGCTTGATTCGAGAAGAAGGATAGTCGGATAGTTCTAGTCTCTCGCCTCTCGCCACACTTTGGGTCTTCATGCGAATTGCCCGCAGCTTCACGGGAAAGGAAAATAATGTGAGCTAGCGAACAGCAACAAGTGGGCTAGTGGCCCTTGGGCAGGCAAGGCCTGGAAATTGATCAATTCGAAAAATTACTGCTGAGCCTTCAGAGGCGTCTGGCAGCCTTTGAGAACGATTGTATGGCACTTTGCTGGCGCATCAGTACTTGAAGGCCGTTCCTGGTGGAGGGCTCTAAAGTATATCCATCCCGTCTATAACCCCAATACCCGCCGAACATGGTGATGTGATTCGCGTGCAGCAACCAAGGGTCTAATCTCACCCCACTCGTCACCTCCCTTCGGCTTGTACTGCGACTCCATGTCTATAGAAATGCCTAACCACGTCGGCGTGCTCCAAACGAACTTGATTTTACATGAACGTACATCTTCAACAGCAGTCAAAATAAGCATGATGGCGGACTCATAATGGCACTGAGAAAACGTTCTGTAACTGCGCTGCTGTACCGGGCCTAGGCTTTTGCTGAGTCTGATTCTGATCTGACCATGCTCGGCCAGGTCGGCTGTGAGCCATCGGTTGGTGGGATCATCGTCATCTTCTGGTTCCAGAAAGCCTGCGGTTGCAAGATCTGGACAATACAAGTGGCACCCCCGCCGCTGTACAATTTAGATATTGAATTCAAAAAAATGTGTTCATATGAACGCTACTAGGAGCAAAGGGTTCGCTACTAGGAACAAGGACGCTACTAGGAGCTTTTTCGCGCGGAGACCTGCGCGTCTATGCCTCTATGATGCGGAATCTCGCTGATCTCCGACGCGCCTGGCCTGTCACCTCATTTTCAACCTCAGCTGCATCAAAGAGTGTCAGACACGACTCCACCAGCAGCAGCTGTTCACGCCATTCATCTTGAACAGCTCACATTGCAAATGAATGGATCAAGCCACGTAGATCAGACGGTCTTGCTTGTCTCTGGTGACCTGCATTCTTTTTGGCTGGCCCGGGTGAGCAAATTAAATTGCTAAGTGTTCAAGCTCAACCGCGATCCATCTGCCAGGTCTACGGACCATGTATTTGCCAGCATTGTACTGCCATTTGCCAAGGTGAGGGTTCATGAACTTCCTCAGGTCCACAGTTTTTGTCTCGCTGCACTTGCTCTTGACTCCTGTGACATACCATCATATTGAAATCTAATGACTGGCGGGCTGCTCATATATCTCTGGGCAAGGCCGCAACCGCAGAGGCTCCGTGTTGTCCCAGGATTCTCCAGGCTTCCACTTGGATCAAAGCGCTGGCTTCAAGAGATGATCTGGAGGCCATTGCTTTTAGATTGGAGGCCATCGCTATTAGGTTGGAGGCCATTGCAGGTTAAGGCCATCATGCAGGCATCTCATGGCATTCCCAGTCTGAGTGGTATGATCCGACAGGGAGGCTAACAGTACTGGGGCAACTGCACAAGCTAAATCTCACCTCCTGACCTGTTCTTAGCACACGCATGCTAAAGCTATTTTCTAACGATATGGCTATGGGTCAAAACCACGGGGCCTTGGTTGACCACAGAAAATGAACAGAATAGACTATTGGGAGGTCAACCTAGCCCGGTTTAGGGCTTGGGGTTTTGACCCATAGCCATGTTGCGACGGGCTCTCCCTCTCTCCCTATATCTGATTTTAACGAGCCACCTCATTGCCTCCAGAAAAGGCCTCAGACCAATAAAACTTTGTCAAAGCTTCAGCATGCCAAATGTTCGTAGAAATCAGGATCTATAAACAAGATTCTGCCAGAGTAGCACATCTGTCTAGCAGGATGCACACCTACATGAATCTGCATGAAACTTATTTGGATCGCTCATAGCAAGGCAAGATGCTGACATGACGCCACCAACTTGCTCCACGAAGTCGGCGGTGGCCGACTGAACAGCAGGCAGAATCGAAAGAGGGTCACGTCAAGGTGCAACATGCTCGCATCACATTCGAGATGCTCGTGGTGGAAATGAAAACACATGTGCGCCGAGCATTTCCATGTTTTTCCTTTGTGCGTATCTCGCAAGGTCTATGTTGCGCGTAGCAATGTGTGGCATCTTAAAGCTCGGACTTCTCCTTGAAGTCAAGCTGAGCCTCCTTGGGAAGCCACGACAGAGTTGCGCTGGACTTCTTCTCTTCCAACTTGGCTTTCAGCTGCTTGCGGCATTTGGTCCATACCGCTGGAGTGCATGCAGAGAGCTCTTTGACATTCAAGCTAGGCATTTTGGATGAAAGTGCCAAGGTAGAACCGCAATGCAACATCACTTCCAAAATGCCACTGATGGCTTCATCAAGCTGAACCTTCTCGATGGCCTGCTTCAGCCAATTTCGAAGACCTGCATTCTCTGTGATCCCTGGCAACTCATCCACAGTGGAAGGTGTATAGCAATAGGCCAGCCGATACTGCCGGAATTGCGGTCTCCAAACGTTGTTGTCGGTCAATGCCGAGAGAGTCTGCTTGCCTTTCAAAATGGTCTCATAGTATGAGAAGGAGTCTGCCAAAGCCAAGGAGACTCGGAACCACCCAGAGGGGACGATGATCAAATCCCCTGGCCCCTGGTTCGCCTCTACGAACTTCTTCAAGCCAAACTCCTCTCGCAGCTCTGGAAGCTTTTCCTCAAAGAACATGTAGGCAGAAGTCTTGTCAAATTCTAAGGCCTCCCGTGCCTTTTGGGCTACTCGCTCCATTTCATCTTCTTGCAAAAGCAACCATCTTTTGGACCCATGCACAAGCACATCGAAGAAGGGCAAGCCATTCTCAGGTCTAAGATTGGCACCTGAACCCGACGGTCCAAAGGTGAAGTACTGATATGACAAACGTCCATTGTTCCGCTTCCATCTCTCCGCACCTTTGGGGATGATGGACTTCAGCTCATCACCTGCAGCTTCCAAGAGCTTCTGTCGGAATTCGGCCATGTGTGGCAAGGCATTCTCAATTTGCCGAAAAATGCGGAGCTGCTCCAGCTCCGAGACATTTCGAACCATGCTCTGTGCATCCACTGTTTGTTCACAATGCTCTGTGTTCTGACCTGGCAGCTTTGGCTTGGCAGGTGTCCCATGGAAGCAATTGATGACATAGCGGGAGAATGGAATCATCTCAGGCTCTTCCATGTGCAGCTGATTACCTACGAGCCTTGCACGGGCCTTGTCTTGTGGCCAATACTCGAGTCGAAACTCCTTCTCCAAGTGTGCATCTTCCATGAGACGTGATGCTGTCCAATGGCGGCGCACCTCATCCCACGCCCCAGGATTGAAGAGTGTGGTGGCATTGGTGATGAGCATTGGTTCCTTAAAGTTGATGTCCTTACCTTCCTCTAAGCGCTTGGCCAAATCGGCGGCTGTCATCTTTTTCACTGTAATCTTCTTGGCATTCAATTTTGGCATTGCTTTCACTCGATACTTGGGAGGAGTGAAATCCTTGGGCACTTCAGTGGATTTCTTCTCCTCAACCACTTTCGCGGTCTCTATGACTTTCTGCACTTGATTCACCATGTTCTCTAGAAATCTCTGGACATTGCCCTCGTATTTCATTTGCTTGGCATGGCTCAGCAGCTGTTGTATCTGCTCATTTGTCTTGGCTTTGTCATCGCTCTTCTCAATTGTAAGCGTTGCGGAAAGCTTCAAGGTGGATTGGCCTTGTGCGACTGATGCGAGAAGCCAACCCAAGACCAAGGGCATTGCCATGCGCACAAAATGTCCCATGCTTCTGGGAGCAGAGCCAAAGGCGCTGGCTCAGCTCCCCTAGAGGGCACTGGCTTCATCAGCCGCTGCTTTGATCCGAAATATTGGTTGAGCAGCCCAGCATGAACACGAATTGTAAGCTACAATTACAATAGAAACCACAGCCAATGGAATAGCAATGTCTGCTGCACCTTGCTTGGCAAAGCTGAAGCCGTTGTGGTTTCTATGCACCTTTGCTAGCAAGGAAATCTGAATCGAAATACTGGAACCTGACAAGCTGGTGCCCTGGAGCATCTAGCCAAGCATCAATTGGTAAATGTCGCCAGTCATGTCATTGACGTGCCAGCAGCTTCCACAAAGGCCATCTTCACAGCGGTAGATCACATCATGGCCTGCACTTTGCGAGCGCAAACAGGCAGCCTGCATGCTTCTCAAGCATTCAAGCGCTGGCAGCTAGGTAGCACAAGTGATGAGTTTGCCTGCAACCCTGGCTGCATCTTGCAATTTGGAACTGCCACGCACCACCACCGGATCTGCAGGCTCAGGGAAAACTACCTGCCAATTCAGATGAGACGTCACGCCACAGGAGCACATGATGCACATGGATGGAACCGCTCGTGCGCCTGTACCGGTCCTCGGGCTTGGCGAGAAAACTTTAGGATTGCCTTGGCTGCATCCGGCACAGCATGGATTTTGCGGATTCCAGGTTGCCCTCCTTAACATCAGCCTGAAGAGACCAAAGGCTGAACTCACCAGCGAAGTCATTTTATAGTATGATAACTTCTCACTCAATCCAGGTCGGAAGGCTCTCTCGCCCTCTTTCAACTTGGAGACAATCTCCACCTGCCCATCGTGAAGAACAAAATTATGACATCATATAACTTACATGAAACCGCCTTCTCACTTAAGCATGGTCATCGCGAAAGGAAATGCATCCGATATGCACTTGTCAACTTGTCAACACTGCCGCGGCACCACGTCTTCTGTTGTTTTTGTCTTCACCCCGTTGACCGTCAGAATCCTGCACTGCAGACTACAGGCCACAACTAAACTAATTGAGTTGAATCTGAGATCTGAAGGCTGGGGTGAGCACCTGTCGCCCGGCTGTATCCATATTCTCTTCTCGGCCGCATCCTGTAAAGCAGAGTGGACACATTGCCGGAAGCTATTGGACAAACTGCAGAAACTGCAGTAGAGGCTTGGTGGCCTCCTGCAAGCAGCCTTGGTTGTACTCAAAGGCACTGCCGCCCTCCATTACTTCAGACACCCCGACAGCTTCTCCGTCGAAGCTCCTAAGTACTCACCAAGTTTCTCTTGAAAAGATTTTCGGCAAGGATGTTAGGCTGAATCAAGGCGGAGGAGAGAAAAGCTGGACAAATCACCAGCCTGCTTTAGAAGAACCATATCACGCATTCATCATGTATTGAATTGAAATTTGATGAAATTTGCTCTACGGCCATGCATGTTTATTTGATTGATATTTTGCACTTTTCAAGTTTGTGTTTGCCAAAAAAGTGTTGCTCCACCAACACGTCTTGAAGCTCAGGCAATGCTTCGTATCCAAGGCCAAGCCAAGCGGAGTGTTGAGCTTCGCGTCGAACCACACCTCGTTCCCCACGCGCTTCCCGTTGCGAGGCTTCGGACGAGTGCGCATCTTCTCGTAGTCTTGCCTAAGCACGGAATCGGAACATTTCGAAACTGTATAATTTCAACATAGATTTAAAAGCATGACAATTTGCTGTGAAGAAAAACATCTTACTGTCACGCATGCGAGCTGAAGAATGAGGTGCCTCATCTCTTTGAACTCTTCGAAGGTCTTTTCGGCCTCGGCCTTGGAGTCCTTGGAACTGAGGATCAGCCTGCTATCGGCCACATTGACCTTATGCAAAGCAGTGGTTGGAGATACATAAGAACAGCTTTTAGTGGAACATGTTAAATTTCGCAACCAATGTTGCCAAGCTGCATGGCCTGCATTCTGCACGCCTGCAGACCAAGAAGTTGCAGTAAGTTCTCTCTATCATCGGCTACATCTGCACATCTTGGAGCAGAATTCAACGGGCCCAAAGCCTGGTCGTCTCGACGAGCCGACCCATGAGGCTCCAAGTCCACTGAAGCACCTGGGTGCCCGACTGGGCTTCAGAGAAGTCACGCTTACACATACACACTCAGAGTAGCATATCATATTTGTATCTATCGTGCAACAATGTTAGTATTGATATTTGCATGCAGCATGCACATAAAATATGCTTTAAAATGCAGGCCTGCTAAGACATGCAGATGAGATGCAAAGATGATGCTGCAAGAACAGCAGCTCCACGCCATCTTCCGTGTCGAACCATTTTTAGCAAATAAGATTCTCCAACTTGAAAGTCAAAGGTCTCTTGTTGATGTCATGTGTGTCCGACATGAGCTGGTCCCTGTCAAGGATTTCTTTCATAGCCCATTTATTCTCTGAATCTATGGCTGCTAGCAGCTGCAGACAAACACACATTGGTCGGAAAAGACTGCCATGGCCTCTGCTAATGTAGCAGCTGCCGCTGCTGAGCTTCAAAATGACTGTTCTGAGCATTTGGCTGTCGCATCTGCTATACTGAAGTTGTGCTCAGCTTCCACCACTACAGGCATCGAAGATGCAGCCACAGAGATCTTGGTGCAGATTTGTGGAGGGTGAAAATGAGACAAGTACGGCCACTATATATTCATAGAATAGAAACAATAAGCTACTAGGAACAAGTGCATCGCTACTAGTAACAAGTGCCTTACTATTAGGAACAAGAAGCT